AGCAGTGTATGGGTGCAATGAATATCACTATCGATGGAACAGTAGTGTAAGTATCTGTAATTGGGCCAGGTTAAAATCTCATTAGTACAAAAGAATGTAGAGTTGCTGAGATAGCCATAGTAAGATAATCTTACAATGTTATCAAATATTAAATCCCAACTGTGAAGGTTGTAGTATGATTTACATTATTCCTATGTAATACATTTTGGAGGGAGGAATAGATATATGCTATATTATATATGAAATATGATATATATTAGTTCCAGGTTCTTTTGCATTCTTAGGGCTGGAAGCTTAGTGATCACTGTAATTGTGCATGTCAATAAAAGATATTTTGTTGCATCTATCTTCAAAATGCTTTGGCTCCTTATTAAAGTAGGTATTTTCCCCCACAACAAGGAAAACTGATAAACTATACATAATTGGATTTAGGGTAAATTACTTGTAAGGCTCAGGCTAATAGTATTCTTAAAACTGGCGTGGTTCTTCTATAAAAAGAGGACACTCTCATTGCTTCTTATAGAAATTCTACTTTCTCCCTGGAAGGTTCAAAGTATAGGAAGTATTGATAGGAGCACTTCTTTAGTGATTTTCTTCATAATTTCCATCTGAGACAAAAAGGTTGTTTCAATTCTCTTTTTCTCTCTTATGAAGGTTAAAAATAAAATGCAGAGATGTTGATCAGTGGAAAATTAGAATAGTTAAGAATCTCATAGCAAGTTCACAACTGCAGCATCGCTCCCCCCTCCTCTTTAAGCCAGTCTTGGGCATCATTTAACACTTTCCATCCCCCCCCCAAAGGGGGATGGAGGTTAACAAAAATGGAGTTTGGATGGTCTCTTCCATTGCATATGGGTCAGAGGCTTGGGAGGCTGAATTGAAGTCATGGGTGCATCTTGGATTTTATAAACTCAAAGCCTACCTCAATACAGCTGTAACATGTCCACTTTGTAATGGAGTCCAAGTCAGTAGCTGCTGCTCAAGGATGGATCTTTCCTTGAACCTGCCTTATTGAAGCCAGGGAATCCTCTAAGAAGCTGTACTAAAATGACATAAGTTTGCACCCACAGATTGTCTGTGTTGGATTATATATAAAAATAAATTAGATATTTAAGTAAACTGTTCCAGACTGTCCCAGTGTGAGGCTGTTAGCAAAAGCTAGAAGCTTGAAATATATTTCTCCTTACTTTTCTTGTCCATTAAATATTAATATAATATCTGTGAGCACTAAGTAGCTATTTGTAAAACATTTTTAATTTTAATGTCAAGCGTAACAAAGCTTTTTGTGTTCATTTTAATGAACATAATAAATCTTTGAAAAGAATCCAATACTTATATCTTCCAGTTACAGAAGAGATATCTAGAGCTACAAATACTTAATCAGAATTTCTGCAGATACAACAGTTGTTCTGAATTGCCTTAGAACAAGTCTATTATATTACTGGCCTGCCAGGAACTTGCTCCCCAGAGAGATATTAAAAGAAGTTCTACATATAGACCCAACTGTTTGAGTTTATTAGCCTTTATCTAAGGATATTATGAGTAAAAAAAATCTAATGTAGAGCTACAATATTTTCAAACTTGGCAATTTTAAGATGTGTGGACTTTCTGGATTCAGTTTTATTTTGTATCAAGTAACTGAGAAAATAAATGAAAATAAGGTTGATTTATTTGGTCAAAATCCTTATATATATCTCAGGCACGCCTAATTGTGGAAATTCTAATAAATTATTATAACTTTCATTCAGCTAATAAGTTTACCACGCCTTTCACCTTATTCCCATGCTTTAATAAAGTCAATAATATTCTATTTCAAATGCATGAAGGGAGTTGTTTCTGTTTAACACTCATAACAGTTTATATAATTTTTGCATGAGTTATCTTAAGTACACAAATTTTTGAAAGTTTGTTAACATTTTCCTTTCAAATTTGTTTTTGAAATTTTTGATTTTTATTTTTCTTGAAGCATAAGCAATAACACAAACATGAATATATGGCTTAAAAGCTTTCCAAACAATCAATAAATTCACAGAATGTCTATGTATAAGGAAAAAAATTATTCAATTCTTTCTACATTTGCTTTATTAAATGGGTCCTTTAATAAAGGTATATTTAACTACCATGTAAAAAAATGGGATGACTATTTTTATTGGAGTATGATTACATATAGCAATTTCACATTTATCAACCAATTCAAATAAATGTGAAGATATTTCAAAAATATTTGATAATAACTTTGAAGTGGGGCGGAAAGAAAAATGATGGAAAAAATTAAGAGTTATCCTTTATCCACCAAATTAAACTCCAATATATAAACTGACTGTACTTTTCAGTACAAGAAACAGATTTAATGAAGGAATTCTAATAACAGATGTAAAACTTATCTATGTTATTAAATCTAAAATTTTATTTTAATGATCAGTTGTAATTAAGGGATCTACAATTAAATAAAATGTGCAAAACATTTATGTAATAATCTGGAATATCTTTAGTAGGCTCAAAGTAATAGATATATGCAACAAATTAATTACAACAATTAGCTACTGGTATTTTAAAACTATCCTGCTGGATCATTTATTTCCTATTCTACTAAGAGATTTGAGCATCAAGTTTCACCAAACTCTTTACATCTATGTAGCAGATTTTGAATATCTGCTACTATATGCATCACCAACCCATCCCCTGAATATCTTTATTTTGTATAAGACTATGAGTTTGAAAAAGGGGGAGCTGAAAGAATGGCAGTAAATAATTTAATGGATGAATGAATGAATGAGCGAGTGAGTGAGTGAATGAATGAATGAGTGAATCTATGATAAAATACTAATGTATTGGGCTCCAACATAGCATTCATACAAGGGATCAGGAAGCAGAAACCTTGTAAGTATTTGGTCTTCTTTTTTTCCAGTTCATTAATCTTTTGTTGTGCATTTCCCCATCAATTTTTTTTTTAAAAAAATGCCTTCAAGACCAGGGTTTTTCAACCTTTTCACCCATTGTACCACTTTTAGGATATGGCAACATCTGAGTACCACCAGTCGCCTAGCAAGGTGACAAAAACTTGATGACCCAAAAAAAAGGGGGGGGGGAAAGTGATAAAGTACAGGTAGTCCTCGACTTACAACAGTTCGCTTAGTGACTGTTTGACGTTACAATGGCACTGAAAAAAGTGCCCCCCAAGGCACAGCCAAGCAAGACACCTGCCTGCCCACCCAGCGGCGCTCTTCCTCCTGTCTAAGGTTTTCATTGTTGTGAGCATTTCTGCTGGGAATTGGCAGTGGGGAGTGTTTGGTTTTTATTCCCCCCAGCTGCTGGGTGGTTGCAGCAGGTTTTGGTCACTTCACATGACCCTGGGACACTGTGACCGTCCTAAATATGAATCAGTTGCCAAGCATCTGAATGTAAATCACAAGACCCTGGAGATGCTGCAACATTCCAGCTGATTGGCGCTTCTGGACTCAGCAGAAGCACCAGGATCAGCGCCGAGCTCCAGCTGGATCCTGGCGCTGATCCTGGCACTTCCACTGAGCCCTGACAGCCTCAAAGCACCGATCAGCTGGAAAGCGGCACTGATCCTGCGCTTCCGCTGAGCCCTGATAGCCCTGTAGCTCCAACCGTCTCTCGCTCAGGCTTGTATGGTGCTACCACTGGTTCAGCTCATTCCCCTCTCCTGCTACCACTTTTCTAGAATGGTCACGTACCACCTGCCAGGTGCCAATGTACCACAAGTGGTACCTGTACCACTGGTTGAAAAGCCCTGTTCAAGACTATATACCTGCAGAAATGTGGATTGAAAATCAAGAGTGCAAAGATCTGAAATGAATGAAATAATTTTGAATGCATCTATTTTGCCAAATATAAAGTAAAGTAATTTTGCTGGTGCTTTAAAAAATAATTAAGGAAAGTATGGTAGAATATTTAAATATGGCAAATTATATATATATGTTTTCTGAGGTTTTCACGGGTGTTTGTATGTAGGTCTTTGGTTATTCAGGTTTTCTCCCGTGTCAAATTGGAAGTGTCTTGGCGACGTTTCGACGAAGTCTCATTCGTCATCTTCAGGCTGGTGTTTTTGGCTTCATGCTTCTAGGAGCAATGTGTGATCGTAGCTGTTTCTTCCTTTTAACTGCCAGTGGGGGTATGAACTGATTGGATGAGAGCTTGGCTGTGTTCTGATTGGGTGGAGGTGTATTCTGATTGCTTAGGAGCTTGGCTGTGCTCTGATTGGATGGGGGGTTGGCTGTGCTTGATTGGTTGGGGGAGTGTTCTGTTTGGGTGGGGGCTTTGTTGTGCTCAGATTAATCTGAGTTGCAGGGGGATGTGAGATGGTGAGCTGCATAGCTATTGTTTGGCTTCGCGTTCGTGGTCGTGCCTCATCTTCATTGTGGGTGTCAGTTTGCTTCATGTATGGATTGGAGGGGTTTAAAGTGGCTAATGATGCAGCTGTGGTCTGGCTTCTGGTTTGTGGTCATGCCTCAACTGTTTAACTGTTTAAGTTTAAGTTATTTAACTGTTATGTAAATTTATGCACATACTCCCCCTTCTCATTTAGCCCTTTGTTCTGATGATGTTAACAGGTTGTTAACGAAAGCTCAACAATTAATAAAAAAGCCTTTTATCTTACATCCCAGAGCTCTTTATTTTTATCTGATTGACTTTATATATATATAAAACATTTTAAATATTGGTCTCCTTCTGGTTTATAGTCAAACTATCCAATATCTTAAGCACAACTTTGGACTTACATAGCCATTCTCTTCCTGATAGAAGAACAGCCATATAAAACCCCCAAATTCAGGTCATTACTGTTAAACTCTCATCTGTCTATCTAAGCATCCATCCATCCAATTCATCCACACACAAAGATGCACACTCTTGTAACTTTTGAAAGAGCCATGTGGATGGATTGTAGCCTATGTGGGAACACTTCAGTAGAAACAGACAACAGTTCCTGGATGAACATAAACACCTGCAGAAAGTGTCCTGATGAGAACAAGGAGTGATGTCAACTTTTATTGCCACTGTCAACATTCCTTGAACGCTGCAAGTTCCTGTGCCAATGAGATCACTCTGGCATTAGTCCGGCGCTGTTCACCTTTCATTAGCCTCATTTCCCTGCGCATTGCCCGTAGTTCTCGCATGATGCCATCTTCTGTCAAGAAGAAATATAGAGCATAATAAATTCAGATCATTCAGTTGGCTGGAGAGTGATAGTAAAACTGACCTAGTAGAACAGAGCAGCATTTCATTTCATATCCCTATTTCATGCCCTCTTTATGGATGTATCAGATAAAGCATGGAGGGTGGCAGTTGAGGGTGCAATACAAGAACGACTTCTTCTTTAACATGTTGTGTGCTTTCAGTTCAGTCAGTGGTTCTGCCAGTAAGCATGAGGAACCTAGAATGGGACAGAGCCCAGCAAATGGCTAGTTTAATGTGTGCTGCTGCTAGGGTGGAGGTTATTATATTATTTTAATTTTCCTCTTGTTATTTTATTTTTATAGGGTGTTTTTTATTGATGTAATCCACCTTGAGTCGCCATGTGTGAGTAGGTGGTGATTCAAATTTTCTAAATAAATAAATGTGGACACTGTAAAAAAAGTACAGGCTGCAATGCAACTGTCTGCTGGGGCCAACTGTGAATGTATCTGTGAGACACTTGCTCCTTTCCCCCCCCCCCAGGACTACATTTATTGGATTGGGAAGGATGGTATAAAGAATGATTCCCCTCGAGACTCTCTTCTCCAGTACCATTGCCATAAAGATGCAGTTTTCTACAGGCCCTTTGTAGTACAATTTTGCTAACTACAGATAGTCCTCAACTTACGACCACAATGGAGCACAAAATTTCTGTTGTTAAGTAAGACATTTGTTAAGTGAATTTTGCCTCATTTTACTACCTTTCTTGTCTCAGTTGTTGAGTGAATCACTGCAGTTGATAAGTTAGTAACCTGGTTGTTAAGTGAATCTGGCTTCCCCATTGACTTTGATTGTTAGAAGGTTGCAAAAGGGGGCATTGCAACCATCATAAATATGAACCAATTGCCAAGCGTCTGATTTTGATCGTGTGACCATGGGGATGCTGCAAAGGTAACATTTTTCAGTGCCGTTGTAACTTTGAATGGTCACTAAATGAACTGTTGTAAGTCGAGGACTATAAGATTACTAGAAGGAGTCCTGGTGGTGCAGTAGTTAAAAGTGCAGAATGCAGGCAAACCCTATTGTAAGCAAATAATGCTTACGTTGTAAAACTGTCCATAGAAGTGGTATAAAGCACTATGGGGCAGTATATAAGTCTAAGTGTTATTGCCATTGCTATATGTGGAATGTTGTTCTGAATGCCTACTTCCCCAATATACTGTAGCTTTCACCAGGAATATGGAAATGGATGTAGTTAAACATCTCCTCCAGTGATCTTCTATAAACTGGGCTAGGTTGTGTCTCCAATACAATTAATAACAGGAAAATAGACTTATGTGTCTTTGAGGAGAATAAAGTGGCTTTAAATTCATCTGTTTCCATTGATTTCCTTGTGCTGATATTACTGGGAGTGAAAAGCCATCCTTCCTGCCCATCTCTTCCATGTGTGTTGTGAATTTCATGTGTCTAAAATTATACATGTGTAAGGCATGTATAGAAGTCTCCCTTTTTGTTTATTTTTGAGGCCCTTCAAAGGAGTTTGCAAGGCTCATTGTGGCCTTTGTTGTCCTAATAAGCCATTCACCCATTTTCTAGATTTATTTTTTTTAGCAAATTGCAATATCTCTTTGCATATCTCAATAAAGAAGCAGTAAACATGGAAGATAATTTGGAATTGTGTATGTCTAGTTTAACGAAGAGAAGGATGAGGGGGGACATGATAGCAGTGTTCCAATATCTCAGGGGCTGCCACAAAGAAGAGGGAGTCAAGCTATTCTCCAAAGCGCCTGAGGGCAGGAAGCAACGGATGGAAACTAATCAAGGAGAGAAGCAACCTAGAACTAAGGAGAAACTTCCTGACAGTTAGAACAATTAACCAATGGAACAACCTGCCTCCAGAAGCGGTGAATGCTCCAACACTGGAAGTTTTTAAGAAGAGACTGGACAGCCATCTGTCCAAAATGGTGTAGGGTTTCCTGCCTGAGCAGGAGGTTGGACTCGATGACTCCAAGGTCCCTTCCAACTTTATTATTATTATTATTACAATCATCTAATACTTACGTTGTTCAGTGATCCTCCCAAGGAGGCCAGCAATGTACTGACAGGTTGCAAGTGTTGAATCTTGCGTGGGTGCTGAAATGTGTATTGCTGGTTCTCCTCTTGCAGAATATTGGACCCTTTCTCCATTTGAATGTTCCCCTATGGGTCCCTGGGGCAGCAAAGAAGATTCCATGGCTGGGTGTACAGTCTCTGGTTTCTGGCTTTGAGAAGAATGAATAGACTGACTTATTCTGATATTGTTGTGCTTTCATTACAGATGCTAAGGGTCTGTTCAACCAGCTTTCTAGTGCTATCACTTTCTTTCATTTGTTGAATGGAGAACCCTCAATTATGCATTGTCACTTTAAGTAAGCAAAAATGTTAAGTGCAGTAGATATCTTGTTTTGTTGGATTTCACAGCATTGGATTGTAATGGATACAGATTGTATTGGTTATATTAATAAGAACTGTACAAAATTTGATGCTGGTAATGATGGCTTCATTGCTGTCATCTTCTGTTTGTAGTCCAGTGTTGAATTACATTTATGGCACACATAAGACAACTTATTATCTATATTGGAGGAATATTGAGCAAGTCCTTCATTTACTATCTTTACCATTTTTTATCAGTTTCTTATATTACTTTCTGTAGAGCAGCTTATTAGGCATGAAAATCTGCATTCGTTTTTGTTGGGCTTGATTCATACCATATTTAGCCTCCAATGTATATGTTGCCTATAAAATACAATTCTTTATACACCTTTTTCTTAATTATTATTTAGTTACCCCTTATCTTTAATTTCTTTTTGGGCTGTGGTCATTCAGGTAATTAATACATTTGTTTGAGCAGTATAACATAGTTATTTTAATCTTAAAGGGCCTAAGAAAATTGAATGATCTAATTTTAGTGTTTTCCTGCCTACACCTTCATAATTTTAAAAAACAGTCTCCATATTGAATATACATAGTGATATAGTCTGACTTATTGTATATTTGTGAAAGGGTTACCATATCTGGATACAAATATGTGAATGACTATTAGAAGGCAGCAGAGTTAGTTTTCTGTAGCTTTTTACTAGTATCTAATGATTTTTTGAGTTAATGCAGTCTCAAATTGGTAGACTTAATATAACATACTACTTGGCTCATAATATTACCTCAGATGTGATATTCACATGTTGCAATGACTGACAGAATTTGTTCTTTCCTTCAACTTCAGCAACACAGCATCATTGTTATCTAGAGGAAGAGACATGGCGGATGTATCAAGACAGTATATCAGAACTGGATGCTTTGTGACATCAGCAGTATCTCCACCAATGAATGTCTCATCTGATTTCCATATTTGTATGGTTTTTTTTTTTAAAAAAATCACTCTTCATGGAGGAAGATTCATAATTTATTTCTTATCCATAATTGTTCTTTAGTCCAAAGACTCCCTGGATAGGTTATACAGTTTAAAAAGAATATGATTATATAAAGTATGAGAAATGCAGAAGATATCAATGCAATAGACCACGGGTGTCAAACTCAATTGTGTCACGTGATATATTGTGACATATTAATTAATTTTCTAAAAATTAATTACATTTAAAAATTTAACTCTATTTTTCCATGTGAACCATCTCACACTTTTACATTTCTTAAGGAATAGATAAAACAATGAAAAAAAGGAGAGCAAGAATAAAGAAACATAAAAAATAACATCCCTCCTAAGCTAATATATATTTATTTCCTAAATTTCTTATTCTTTTAAACCATAATTAAAAATATGTTTAATCTTTAAACATTCCATTAAATACATCTAGTCATCTAGTCCTTTAACTCTTATTCAAAATATTTTTTATCCATTATAATTTTCTTAAATTCAATCACATTTAAGTATCTGAAACATTTCCTTTAAGTCATTTCAACTTTTTTATATTAATCATATCAAGAAAGAGAACAAAAAAGGGGAAAAAGCATACTATATTATTTAGGGAATGACATATATATTCGAAAACTTTTCTATTTCTTTAACCATATTCAAACAAATGTTTCTTTTTAAGTAAGTCCCATCATCTATTTTCTTGGTTTCCACTTTAGTCTTTTTCATTTGCCCAGTATCTTTCTTAATCAATATATTTTGCTGTATCAAAACGTTTTTCCATATGTTCGTAAATGTTGCTGTAGATATAAAAAGTAAATCAGGTGAAGTGTCTTTGTACGGGGTTCCGCCTTTTCATGTTTATTGAAAATCTTTTTCTTTTTCTTTCTCTCCACTTCTCTTATCATTTCCTTTCTCTCCAATATTCCTGACATCTCTACAGTCCATTTTATCCAATCTGTTTTTTTGTCCTCAGATTTATTTTGTAGTCTTAAGGGATAAGTTGTTTTTTCCAATCCTTGTGAATTTTTTCCCATTAGGATTAAATCATGTTTCCTTGTTTTGTTAAGTTCCATCTTTAAGTTTCTATTCTCAATTTTATATCCATTTATCTGTATTATCTGCTCCTTCTCTGTTATTGTTTTCTAATTTTGTTGTTGTTGTAGAGTTAACTTAGAAATAGATTGATTTATATTTTCAAAGTTATTTTGAATTTCTTTGGGGTTTAAAGTCATTGTTGTTTGAATTAGTTGCAGTATACTATATATCTTCTCCTGTGAAGTATTTATGTTTTCTTGATATGTTCTTTCTACATGTCTCTGTTCCATGATAGCCAAGAATTTGAATTTTCCTCTTTCTTTTCTCTGTAAATAGCTTTAGAGTCCCAACTAGATAGATATTTGTAATCCAAATAGTTCAAAAAGATTTTTTTCTAAGATTTATAATTCTCTCTTTGTTTACAACCCAGATATTGTCTTTTTTCACAGCTATTCTTTGTTGTTAAAACTTTGAAGGTCACAAACACAGATTAGCTTTTCCCAGGTCTTGCCAAGTCTTCATTAAAGTCATAGCTGTCATAGTCTTCATCCACCACTAGGTGTCAGCAACTATTTGTTTTTCAATTTCCAAAATGAACAATTACCTTTAAAATGAGAGTCTTAACCATTCAAACAATTTTAGATTTATCCAGATTTAAGTTTTAAATTTCAGGTTTTATATTTATTTCACTTCTATATATTTTGATCCTCCATAAAGAGATTAATTCGCCACTTCTGTTAGTATAAGGGTGGAGCAAAAATCCCCCTCCTTCCCTTTTGGAGGTATTTTGCTTCTTGGGGATCTTTTCCAGGAAATTAAATGTAGAATAGAAAAGAGAAGATAGAATTCCTCACCCAGTTTCAAGCACACTGTTCATAGTTGTGCTGGTTAGTGCTTTTGGACTTTGGTTGCTAGTAGCATGGGCTGTCGATGCAATACAGCCAGCCTTTCCCCTGTTGGGTTAGAAGGCTTTCCCCAAGTCGAATGGAACAGCTGCCACCATTCCAGAATCGCTGGAGCACCCTTCTTTCTTTGTTGCCTCTCTGGGGTGACTTAGACCCATTTAGGGTCCCCAGGCAGGGCAAAATTAGCCGTGGGGGTGCGGAGAATCTGCAAGCCTGCAACCAGTCGCTACTGTGCAAAACCGGAACTCTCCCTTGAGAGAGATTCCTTTATTGCCCTCAAAAAGTATTTTTATGGATTTAGATGTTAATGAAACTATTTTAATGTTGAATCTAATAACTGTAGCAAGATTACTTGTAGGTTTATATTGGAAGAAGAATTCGCTGCCTACTTTAGAAGAATGGATACTTAAAGTTTCCAATTTAGCAGAAATGGCAAAGATTTCTGCTTATTTAAAGGACCATACACAAGAAAAATTTATCATAGTGTGGAGAAGATGGATAGATTATATTCAGAATAAATATGGAATTTTAAAGTTTCATTTATTTTATGATTAATTTTTTCTTTTTTTTTGAAGTAATAATTATTATTTATAGAATTTTATAATATTTGATTTATAGTAGATTTGTTTATTTTATTATTTTTAAAGTTTAAAGGGAGTTAAGGGTTATGTATGAATTTGTTTATTGTATAATTTTTTTTGTTTTAAAAGTTATAGATTGTGTTTATTTTGTTTACAATAACCCTGTATTTTGCTCTGGGAAGTGGGGGGGGGGTAGGGTGGGAAGGGATGGGTGGGATTAAATAGGTTAGTTATATAGAAATATTAATGTATAAAATAGATAGAGTATTTTAGAGGGAGGTGCCGCTCGGGTATTTCCCCTGAATTGTATCTGAAGAGAGATAAGAGGGGAGGAGGAAGGATGGAAGGAAGTTGGTTGGGAGGAAGGGATGAGGGGAGAGATGAGATGAGAGGAGAGAGGGAGCAGGGAAGTAAGGAAGGAAGGTTGAGAGGGTGGATGCAGTCGGGGGGAGATAGACGAGCGACACCTAAGGTTCTATTTTAAAGGTATTTTTCTCTTTTATTTTTTTTCTTTTATAGTGTATGGAAAGTATTATATGTATTGAACATTTAAATAATTTTTTTTCCAAAAAAAAGTCTTCAACAAACAGCCCTCCAATGACCAGTAAGATTCCACCCCATGCTACCCTGAAGGCAGCTACTCCCAGTCCCCCAAATAACAGCCCTTATGTTACCAGGAAAATCCACAAGGCAAAGTCCAGGCATAAGACAAATGGGAATCCTCTAGGCAAAGACAAGGTACAAGGCAAAGGCAGTTCTGAAGGTAAATCAAAAGCAGTCCACAAGGCAAGGGCAAGACCAATGACAGTCCTCAAAGCAAAGGCAAAAAGCAGTGCTTGAAGCAAGGCAAAAAGGCACAAATCAAAGCCAGGGGAGTATAATCCAAAACAAACAATTGTTCCTGGAAAGACTAACTCCCCACAGCTTCTCCTTAAGTCACTCCAGGTATTCCTTGTAGGAGGGGTAGGATGCCTTCTCCCAAGTAGCCTTCCAGCCATTTTCTGAGCTTGCCTACGCTTCATTCTCCATGCTCTTGGATTGAGTGGAGGAGGCAGGAGTTCCTCGTCAGAGAAGATCTGCTGCCTATCAGCACCATTATCTGTCAGCAGCCGATCCTCCCCTGTGTCTATGAAGGTAGGCAGCTCTTCTTTTGGTTGACCATCTCTCCCAATGCCTGAGGGGCCTAGGAAGGGCATCGTCCCCAGCCCCTGGCCTCTCTAAACACACCAAGGTAGACATGCCATCCCTGTCAGGCAGTCCTGGTTCCAACTCCTCTTCCTCCTCCTCCAAACTGGGCTTTGATGGAGCCATGACAGTCTCTCTGTTGATAATGTGTTGTCTAGTATTGTAAGAGGTGGTAGAATAGGAAGGCTTCTCCTAAAATCTACTGAGTATGTTCAGTTCAAGATTGTTCCAATTGCACCACAAGGCCAGTTCAACTTCCCATCTGTATGCAGTTTTGTTGTCTCAAAAGAGACCAATCACTATTGTATTATCTACAAACTTCAATATTTTAACAGAGGGATCCTTTGAGATGCAGTTGTTGGTATAGTGAGAAAAGAGTAATGGAGAGAATACACAGCCCTGGGGGGGAAGGGGCTGTGCTAATTGTACAGGTATCTGATATGATTTTGCCTAGCTTCACCTGCTGCTTCTTATCTGTTAGAAAGCTTATGATCCATTTACAAGTGTGATCATGCACAACTGGCTGAATCAGTTTAGTGGGAAGAATATCTGGAATGATAGTATTGGATGCCAAGCTAAAGTCTATAAAAAGGACCCTTGCATAGGTCCTTGTAGATTCAAGATGTTGTAAGATATAGTGCAATACCATATTAATGGAATTATCTGCCAATTTATTTGCAACAATTTGCAAGCTAGTAAAATTGGTAAACATAAAATAAACTCATTTCAAAATGAATTATTTATATACACAATATACTTCCCACAATATTTTGAAGTCCCATCAGTACATAGATGTAAATGAACTACAACATATAGTTCTTTCCAAATGTAATAAGCCAAAGATATTTTCAAATTGTCCAAGTCAAATTTCCCCAGTTTGGTGCCCTTCAAATATTTGGTTACAATAGGAATTGACTGACCTTCTTGTCACCCAAGCCTGACATGGGCTAAGAAAGAATGTCTGACCCAAAATCATTCAGCTGTCCTTCATGACTAAGGCAGAATTAGAACTCAATCTCCTGGTTTCTAGCCAGATGCCTTATCCACTAGACCAAACTGGCTCTCAAATTCACTTAAAATCATTACATCAAAAACATCATTGGAGTGTAATCTTAATATATTTGGATGGCATTGGATTGAAGAAGAGGTGTCTAACCTATTTTTCAGTGTATTACTCAAAAATATAAATTGTCTTAC